CACTCGCTCGTTCCCCAGTACATGGCCCAGCCCTTGACTTCAATGACGTGGTTGAAGGCGCGCACCGTCTCCTCCATGGGCGTCAGGCGATCGGGCCTGTGGGCGTAGACAACGTCGACGTACTCGAGGTCGAGGCGCTTCAGAGACGCGCGCAGGCCCTCGATAATGTGCTTGCGGCTGAGGCCGTGGTTGTTGACGAGCACCTCACCGTTGGCGCCGCCCCAGTTGAGCTTGGTCGTCACGACAATGTCGTTACGGTTCCAGCCAAACTTCTTGAAAGCCTTGCCCATGACAACCTCGGATTGGCCGCCAGCGTAGCTTTCGGCCGTGTCGAAGAAGTTGATGCCGCAGTCGTAGGCCTGCTTCATGCACTCAAACGTCGTCTCGTCACCGTTCTGGCCGCCAAAGGTGAGCCAGCCGCCGAGGCCCAACGCCGAGACGTGAAGTCCCGAGTTGCCCAGGCGGCGGTAGACCATGCCCGTATTACGCGGTTCTTGCCAGGCCATTGTTACGTCGTGTGGTGTGATGGATAATGTGTAAAGGTGCGACGTGGAGAGGACGAGCTCGGTGAGCACAGCAGCCTGCCCGCTTTAGTGCCCCCCCAAGTTCGGAGAAATTGTCGGGATAATCGGAAAACTGGCGCGCTAATCGAAAGCCCGCCGCCGCATGAGTCAACCACCCGACTCTCAGGACTGCCCCAGATCGAGCAACCAAGGATCGCCCGTCATCATGTCGACGCTGTTGTTTCCGGGCAGACTCTCCATGGAGGCCTCACTCGTGGGTGGCTCCGTTTCGAGCTGGGCCAAGAGGTCGAGCGATTGCGAAAACCAGCCGCCGGTGCCAGGGCTCATGCCTTCTGCTTCACCCTGCATCTGCTGGCCTCTGTTGCCGTCGGCGTGCTGCTGCTGCTCGAGTTCGGCGGCGGCCACGAGGGACAGCCAGGGCGACGCGGGGAATGGCCAGCCGAGGGGTTGCATCTGCGTCATGGCGGCCTGGTCGTGGTAGGCCTGCACATCAAACGTCTGCTCAGGGTTTCCGTTTGCGTGATTCCAGGACGAGATGCCACCGTCGAGTATCTCGTCGACGCGTTGGTGAGGGACCACGGTAGGGCCGAGGCTGAAGAGCGCTGCTGGCTGGGCTTCAGCCTGGGCGATGCGCGCTCCGAGAAGACGCAGCAGGCTGTTGTTCCCGCCGCGCGTCGAGGCGAGTAGCGTCTGCAAACGCGCGAGAATGTCGCTGGGGCGGACGTCCATCGTCAGCGCGTTCGACTGGCTGAGGTGGTTGGCATTGACATCGGCGACTGCGCTCGCAATCTCAAAGACCTTGAACTCCTTGTCGGGTCCCTTGTGCCTTCGAGAGCGGCACTTCTGTAACCCGTGCTGTTTATATCTAGAAATTTCTT